TTAACAATAAAAAAAACAGTGACTGTCAGTGCCATGATTACAATGCAGGTTTCCTTAAATGCAATGTGCTATTAATTTACTGAAAACAGAAATGACCCCATTGGTCTTGAAAGACACCTGTCATGCCCCAAACAAAATCTTATGCTCAGTCTAATGAGCATGAATTATCTATATACTGCGCTAGCAGTTTTGCACTTCTAGCATTTGCTAGGGATTTTCTAATTGACGGAGCCTAGGGAGTTTAGGAACGGAGTGAAGTGATGTCACTCCATTCTGATGCCGGCTCTATCGCAACAAAGCTAGAGTACCAATGTCACTGACAAGATTTGATCTGCTTCCTGCTTGGGGATATGTCGCAAGCAGGTAATCAAAAATGAACAGATGGCGGCCCAAAGGTGAATTTAACGCCCATGAGTCTATTCTAGAATGGTGAAAAGGGGAGTATATTTTACTTTTAATACGCCGTGTATCTTTATGATATATGGTGTATTCCAAGGGTGCCCAAAAGGTAGATCCCCAGATGTTGTAGAACCACATATCCCATGAGGCTTTGCATGCCTTTTAGAATGCTAAAACATCATGGGAGCTGACGTTGTTTTTTTTGTTTTTTTTGTAAATCTTTATTTTTCATGCGATGAAAAGACCGACCTGTTAAAATTACCGCAACCCTATGTGCATGGGTCACAGGAACATTCTACATTGAATATACTGTTGAGATACATTTCGCATATTTTTTAAGTTATATTGGGCTGGGATGTTGTAACGTGGGCCTTAACTGTGGAAGTTTTGGGTGAATATTCACTCGTCTATGCGTACCAGCGCAGGTACTTTGGAGCCATCTAGCGTGTGGGGCATGTAGTATCCGATAAGCTTTTGTCTGTGGGGGTCAAATCCCCATCTGATCTCTGGTATCTGTTTGATTATGGTGCTCCATATGGAGTCCAGGTCTAGAGCCGTGTTGGGTGAGTGGGGCGTCGTGACGTTCCCTTCAGCGGCACCCTGTGTGGTTTTAGGTTATGTCTATTATACATTCCTTCGGAAGTTGCATGGCTCTCGCCTGGATTGGAGGTGCGCTGTGTGGCTTAACTATATATAGTGATGGAGGTGGCTGTGTGTAAGCGCGATGTAATACATATTTGAGTCTAGTAGGTGTCTAGGTGGGTGGGAGCTGTATGGTAGCCTATCTGCGCCCAGAGGGCAAAGAACCCACGGCGTGAGGGGAGGAAAAAAGCGTTAGGCTATGTGTGCGTGTAAAGCTCCCGTGCTGGTAGTACCCTATTACCCCAGGGCAAGGGGGGGTGGGGGTGGGTTGTCGCCAGAGCCGGCTGGTGGAGCCTCCAATAGGTCGCTATCCCACTATAACCGAAAGGGGCGAACCAGTAATACTAAAGCTTGTAAACGTTACTAAACATTTTAGTAAGAGAGTCTTAGTAAGAGTCCAAGAGACCCAGACCAAGCGCGCCGTTTCAGGACTTGGTGTCTCCATGGGGTCTGGGTGTAGCTGTTGTTGTTGCTTTCACCCTCCTGGGTCGGTGGCCTGGCTGTGGTGTTGAAGTTGTCGGCATAGTTGGGAGTCCCAGTGTTGCCATTAGACCTGGGCCCTCAGAGGGGTCCATGGCCTTGTAATGCTTGTTGTCTTTGGTAACCCATAGGGTCCCCGGAGTCTACCACTTTTAGGCAATGCCTGCTGCATGGAGCGGTTTAGTAAGTGGTTGCATTTGTTTGCGCCATAGTAGTGTGGCTCTGCTCAAGTCCTGAAAAAAGGATAAACGGCGATCCTCAAATTCCATAGGAGTCTTTCCCTGTAGCGCTGCTAAAAGTCCCAGTTTGTCTGACATGGACTGGCACCGTAGTATGATGTCTCGCGGTGCTGCGCTAGGTGCCTGCGGGGATTTCGCAATTCTGTAGACTCCGTCGAATAAGAAGGTTTTGGCTTGTCTGGCCGGAAGTAGTGCAGCTACGAGGCGTCTGATGAAATGTGGTAGTTCCTCCAGCGGTATGGATTCCTGTACCCCTCTGATTTTGACATTTTTGCGTCTCCCCTGTCATCCAGTAGGTTGACTTGTCTGGAGAGGGTAGTCTGTGTGGTGGTTAGTTTTTGTACTTTCTCCCCCAACTCTTGTAGGCCTTGTTTCAGGGTCTCCACTTCATTCTCTGTGGCTTGTGTACGTAGTGTCACTGCATGTACATCCCCTTCTAGCACTGCCAGGTCAGCCTCCCACATTTGCCTGAGGTTCTGTTGCAGGCTTGTCAGCATGGCCTGGATATCACTCCTGGATGCTGGGGCATTATCCTCCATTACCCGTGGGGGAGCTGCATGACATGGAGTGAGTGGGCTATCAGGTGGTTCTCCTTCCTCTGAGGGCAGTGGGGAGGTGTCTCGATGGGACGTGGTCCGCGCTGCACCTGGGGCCTGTAACATCTGGCCTATGTCGCGCTGTGGCCTTGGGGTATGTGTGGGTGGTTTCTGAGACTTGCGCCCCATCTCACCTGTGTGTGGCAGGTTGTGGTACCAGTCTTCCAGGTCAGGTGAGCCCCAGGGCCAGATTCCCTCCCCTGAGTCTCTCTGCCGTCCGCCCGCCCGCGTGGTAGGCCTTACCGCTTCGGCGTCGTGTTTTGGAGCCGGGCGTAAGAAAAAAAACGGCATCGGCGGCTTTGGCTGACTGTCCCGGTTTTAGACACAGCTTCTGTGACCAAGGTAGGTATTGGGTGCCCCCAAATCGGCTGGATTATGATTATCCAAGCGGGAGCTCCACTATTGTGCGTCCGCTTGGTTTCGTTGTCAGGCTCCACCCTCCAGGAGCTGACGTTTTAAACCATCTGGGGATCTGCCTTTTGGGCTCCCGTGGTGTATTCAATGTATATAGAGCGTTTGCAGGTAAGTTAAATTATTCACAACCAGTTCACTGTAAGTAGTTATTTGGGATTTTTCTCATGGACCAGCAGAAGAGGAAAAACGATATCTGTGTTAGCTAGTGAGAAATCTCGCTTTGTGGTTACATGTTAATAGAAAGCAACGAGGCTTCCAGCCGGCTCTTGACATCACATTGTCTCTGTGATTTTCGTGTAAGTAATCTGCCGGATTGCGTGTCGCTGCAATCTGGTTACATGTTTCAACCGTACAAATGACTAAATGTTAAGAGATTATAGTGAAGGATTATCGTCCAATTGTGACGCATTCCTGTCTCGCTATCCGAATTAATTCTCTGACAGACATAGTAAGGACTGTTTCTTTCTGAAAATCACTTGTAAATCTATAATAAACTGCTGATCCTTGAGGCTGACAACACTGCGAACAATGAGAGCAGACAGATGCTGGCTGCAATGTAAAGATAATCAAGCTGGTACAACACAGACTGATTGCAATAAGTATTGTGTCAAGTGCTTGTCTTCCTAGAATTTTGGGGATAATAACTAAACTGAAAATTAGTTGAAATAGTTTGTAATTGGGATGGGGAGGAGTTCTATCAATAAGAACCAAATAATTATGGTGACCTACATTCCCAAGCAGAGCAGCATTTTAAAAAATTATTAAGCTTTATTACATTTTTATAATTGGTTTTAGGCAGTAAACCTCATAACTAGAAGATTTTTAATTCACTTAGTTGTTATAGTGTTTCTTCATCGATGTGCGCGTTTCCATCTTCTGAAACATTAAAAATCTGAATCTGCGGGGGGCGGGGTCTGGCCGCCGACGGGATCAGACGCGTTCTGTCTGAGCTCCCGCTCCAAGGCCCAAAAACCGGAGCATATTGGAGGATAACCGCGACCGGAGGGTCCCACAGATGTCCACAAGGACCCCCAGTCACTGGGGAAAGCGGGGATGCCGCATGGGTCCCGGTCCGGCACCGACAGTAACCCGGCCGGGCTCGGAGTTCGTTGGGGCTTGAGCCAGGAAGGGACGGCCGCTTTCCTGGGTCTCCTGGCCGGCGGTTCGCGTCCGCCCCCCCCCCTGGACCGGGGGGGTCATCCCGGTCTGCAGAGGTACCAACCAGCACACCAACCTTGGCCCAATCAACCACCCTAGCAGGGAACATCACCCGGGCGACAGTACACAAGATGGCCGCCGAGCGCCGGCCATGTGCGCGAGCTGCCAGAGAGATCAAGATGACGCCTGCTCAAAAATGAGGAAAACAACGCAGTCAAAGAGAAAAGCACCCACTATTATCCTACCAGTCTACTACAGGGCAGTAAAGCTCATGGACACTGCAAGCAGGATCAAGTCACACTCTCATGGAAGTGCCGGCAGCAGAACTCGCCTAGACAGCACTCACCACACAAGGAGACATGACAGAGTGCAGTGGGGAGGTTCACAGGTCCATGGACCGGAAAATCTCGGGGTCCCACTAATGCTGAACGTCCTGCTGCAGCCCATCGGTGGTACTGGGTGACAACTGGATAAAGCGGCTCCTGCTAACACACAGCAAGATCATCTCCAGCAATGTAAAGACTCTTGTTATTCTCAATGTCAGTGCTACCCTCTTTCCACGATTACAGAACACAGAGGTGTTAATAGCTCTGTGTCCCGATAACCACTCCTAGCTAGCAACCACCTTGACTAATTAGCTCTGTTGGCCAGACTTATCCCCTAGCACTGTTCTGTCTACCCATGCTATTGTATGACAAGCACTTAACTCATTGTGTTCACTTAGTCACCTGTGTAACATGTTAGGAAAGCAAGCCCAGGTGTACACATATATACCTGCATATAAACAGACTTACACCTGAACATCACTTATGATACATACTAAGCATGGACAGCTCATATCTCACACTCACTGCGCCCACTAGCTAAACATGCCTAATTAACCTGTTCATTAACGTTGAAACTCTGCTCTTCACGCGTCATTACTAGCCTAGTCTCGAACTACC